GGGCGCTGCAGTTGCACCCTTGTCACCCAAGACAGCAGCACAAAATTGCACCCAAGGTGTGGTTGGGGCAGGCGAAGAAGTCAAGGCTGACAGCAACCAAAGTGGACACAAAGTAGAGAACCACATGTTTACATCTGATATCCACCTGATACCCGGGGATGGCAGTCTGTCTCCGACCTGTGAAACCAGCATGTGACTGTGAGAGAAGCTCTGAGGGACAATAGACCCACTGCAACCTCAGCCTGGTGTGTGGGAGAGCAGGGAGAAAAGACAAGGATGCAGTTGTAGTGACAGATATTTTTGCATGGCATGACAAGTCCCTTTTACTTGTGTTGTTGTGTATTGCTGAAAAAGAAACGGCAGTGCTTTGTGCAGATTTGAGAATGACTGGGATAAACAGTGGGTTCAAAGAGGAGGCTCTTGAGAAACAGAGGGAATTCATCAACTTATGTAGACACTTTGGTCCTCCAAATGTACATAATGACAGTCTCCTTTTTCTAGCAAAAGAAAGAAATGCACAGAGGGACTAATCTGTAAAAAGCATGCATTTAAAAAAGACAGATATTTTACGGTGCTTAGTTTGCTGAAAGCGCTCCACTGTAAATAATAGGACATCTAAGGCAATGACAATGCACAGGATGGCAAAGGAAAACTGTCACTGTAGGTACAAATATTTGTAATGTGAAAAAGGAGGGTGGGGGGTAAAATTGAGAGCCCTCAGACTGGGAGTTGCATCGTAGCGACCTATAAAAAAAACATATCATTACCTTTTGTGGAATGCAAAGTGTTCCCATGACGACCCTGTAATGTTTTTTCGTGTGAAAAATTATGTATAAGACTGTAACGTTGACATTATTGCTTTTGGTTTTCATAACGACTGTTGAACTTTCAGTTGAGCATCTGATATTCAGTCTTTGAATTAATAATGGTGGGCAAGGAGGACAGAAACACCTTGATTCCTCCAAATGCACCTGAAGTTGCCAAATACGTATGTAAGCAGTAAGGACAGGAACTATCAGATACTACCGCTACTGAAAATATTTATCATGAGGTTTCAGAAGTAAGGACATGGCTTAAGATGTTTTATTCCTTGTCCTTCCTTCCAAATCGCAAAAGTATATATTATTTATTCTCCGACTTCTGATATATACATCTAAAAGTAGTTTTAAGAATACAATATGAAATACATAGGTCTAGATTGGTTGTAGAAAAATTCTACAGTAGGTAAGACAGAGTTAAGACTATTTATTAATTCAGCACAGTAGATCTGGTCATTCATACACATGTATGCTTTACACTATAATTATATATTTTGGCAATCCAAAAAGGTTAGAGTACCACAAAAAAAAAGAGACAATATTCCTTGTGATACCAATGGACCAAATCAAGCACACTGACAAGCTTTCATCTATCTCAGCTGCATAGTAACATATAAGGTATCATTAATAACATGTATTATGACAGTAGTTATGTTTTGTTTTTTTGTTTTTTTTCTTATGGTTTGTTTACCTGCATTGTGTTAATTATCCTATCCTCAGCGCCCTGATGTCATTGTTGACATTTGTTCCATACTACTGCAAGTTTATCCGATCCTGCTGATAAGTTTAAGGCATCTTTTTATATATATATATATA